TGGATCATCTGAGGTCAGGAGTTCAAGACTAGCCTGGTCAACAGGGTGAAACCCCATCTCTACTAAAAATGCAAGAAAATAGCCAGGTGTGGTGGCACATGCCTGTAATCCCAGCTACTCAGGATGGCTGAGACAGGAGAATCGCTTGAACCTGGGAAGCGGAGGTTGCAATGAATCAAGATCGCGCCATTGCACTCCAGCCTGGGCAACAGGAGTGAAATTCCAACTCAAAAAAAAGCAATTGTCCTAAGAGCTTACTCAGGAATGACTTACACCCTGCCTAGCACTGCCCTCAGCTAACATGGGAATCCCACAGTGAAGGACAATGCAGTTTCTACCCTTCCAGAGCCTACATGAATTACAGAAGTCCTTCAGGAAACTGTGTCCTACAGAATACTACCTACCACACAAGATTAAAAATAGGTTATTAAATAAGTAAATAACACTGAGAAACTCTTCATAGGGACTCAGGATCCACATGTGTAAATTAAAGCTCTGCAGTGGCCTATGGTTTAAAAAGGCTTTTAACCTTTGCTAAAACAACCATTGCCTACCCTTTGTTTATAAACTTGTTTTGCATTTACTCTGATCACATGATTTCATGGGACACACTTTGAGAGATGCTAAGGTAGTGAGAACACATACACACGCATGACAATAAAGCTACAGTAAACATGATGTGAGGCAAAGCTAAATGTCTGCAGGTGCTGAACATCCATGATGCAAAGACATAAGGCTACGGTAGAAAGAGATAGAGGGACAGTCAAGGGCAGCTGAAAAAAAGGCAAGGCTTGGGAAAGTGGCAGATGTGAAGGACAAGGAGAAGACAAGGAATGGGAACCAAGAGGCAACTGGAGCCAAAGACGAGATCTGAGCCACTGCAGCCAGTGAGGTGGAAGTGGGCCTGACCAGGCCGGAGGCTTACTCTCTTGGAGGAGCAGAACACACGGCCTCAGGAAAGGCATGTGGAGAGCGAGTCCAGGCATGCAGAAATCTGAACTATGTAAGCCTCAAACACACCCAGGGGTCCCTCAGGGTCATCAGGGTCCCCTCAGGCTGTCAGGCCAGCGCCCTGGGCTGCACTTCATTGCCAGGATCTCTCCCTTCCTACGCAGTCATTCCTTCCCACTGTCCTCCAAACTCTTCTATCAAATCTTCCCAACACTGGGGTGAATGTTAGCAGCTCAACAATGAAAGCCTTTAAAACCAAAATGAATTTTTCTAAAGTGCCAGTGGGAGGGATGCTTTACCCTCTTGTGGAGGGTAACGAAGCCACCAAGATCGCATCTCAGAGGATAAAAAACCTACCTCGCCATCCATTCCACCTTCCCACTTCTACCCTAAGTTCCTCCTCTCCT